TTATCCACCGTTTATTTTGCAAGGTACGAGGCAAGCGGCAAAGCTGCCGCCGCTGAGAGAGCACAGAAGGTGGCACTGAGGATGCAGGCAGATGCTGCCTGGGAAACACGTGGCAATACCCTGTGGAGCAAAGCGTCCACCCCCAAACGTGCAGCCCCACGGCCCTTCTTCAGGGCAGCGGGTGAGGACGCGAGGAGAGGGCGTGCTCTGCGAGGGGGTTTCCTTACCTCGGCACAACAGACAAGTCCCAGCTCAGAGCCGTCAGCAACGCTGCTATAGCTTGGGGCGAGAGAGGAAAAGCAGAAACATCTGCTATCCCAGATGAGCCAACTTGGCAAAGACTCTAAGGCCTTAAACATCAGTTTCACAGGCAGAAGACTACATTTGCAGTATGTAAATGTTTCTAAAATCACTTACTGGCTTCAAAATAAAGAGATTTCCTCCCACAACAGATTTGTAACCAAGTTATCTTGGTACAGCTAACAAGCAGGAGCACGCAAGGTTACAATGCATCTAGGAACGTGCAGCAACACTACCCATATCCCTGACAGTACAGGTCAGAGCCTGGGGACATGCTGTTGCAGTCTCAGGGCAGCCCAAAGTGTTCGAGGCTGAGTGGGCAGGTACGTAATTTCAAGCTGCTCTGGTGCATACCAGCATTTGGGGGAGACCAATGGAGCACAGACCCCCACCACCCAAGTTGCACCTCAGGATCCCACCTCTTCACTTGAGCTACTGGTGAAACGCTGTGTGCCCCTGCTGCCTGCCCATAGCCTGGGCACGCTGTTAGCCATCCCCAAGAGACCAAAACATTTCACAGATGGAGAAGAGAGGCACAGAGAAACCAAGGCTTAAACTGGCACAAATGTTGAGGTGTTTAACTTCCACGGAACACAGAGACATTGAGCACCCCAATGCCTTTTGGTATCTGATGTAAAAGAGAACCCTGGGAAAAAAACAGGAAGGGACCAAGCCAGGGAGTGAAACTTTGATCTCCACACAGTGCCTTAACCAGGCCTTGCTTTCTGCTCTGTCTTCCCCATCACTGCTGCAAGAGATGCCTCTCTGGGAAGGGGCTGAAAGATGCCCAGCCTATGTATTAGCCCTGCATTTTCAGAGCAAATTCAACAATTCCCCACTCGTTTGGCATGCTTGAGGTTGGAAATTCAAGTCGTCTCAAGAAGAAAATATCTTCTTGTTTTATTTGGCAAGAGAGAAAGAATTCTCTAACATGAAGTGTATTTCCCGTTAGGGAGCTGTTGGCTTTTGACACATGCATTTCATGTGCTTCACACCTGCCAGATTTCCAAGAGAAATAAAATAGAATAAATACCTGCCAAGGAAAGGGAGCAAGACAAAAGCATAAAATACGTCTCCCATGACCCTCCTTCTTACTAATTACTGCAAATATGATGCTTTTAACAAGGACAGCAAGTGTACACTGTCAAAGCAACAACAGGAGACACAACGGTGCTTAGCTTTGTTTAGACTCCTCTTTTCTTGTGCTTTGCTGGGTCCAGGGTGGGAGGAATAAGCCTTCCCATTTTGGCTGCACTGGGTTAGCTACTGAAAATCTCCCTGGGCTGGTCACGGTGTTGGGCTAACAACAGTGCTGCATTCTTCAGGCACCGTAAACAGGCCGTGCACGCACCATGGGGTGTGCTGCTCAAGGCTGCTTCTTGTCTCCGAGCCGGCTGTTTACAGCCAGATGACACACTTCTATTTTCCACCCCAGCGATATTAATAGTTCTGTGTATTTTGGTGTAAATTACACCCAAACACCCCTCATTGCGGCAGTAACCCAGGGAAGAGGGAACAGGACAGAGAGCCAAGCTGGACGGACGGCACAAAGGCAGGAGGCCAGCACAGCACAGCGCTCCCCAAAGCATGGCTCTCGGCAGAGGGGCTGCCCGGCAGAAAGCCCTGCTGCACTCAACGGGGTATCAGTCCCGAACTGCGCCACAAATCCCTGTCTTTAAGTCACTGGTTTATCACAACAGTGAGGAATACAGCAGTCTTTGACACTTTGAAGCTTTTCAGTCCTTGAAAGGACTGTACCCAACAACGATGCCTCACAACATGGTCTCAGTATCACCTTCAAGCAAAAGCCTGGACTATGGCTGGGCTCCACTGCACAACCAGCCACCTGCAATGAGCAGCCAGGCCCTGGGAAGCTGCTGTCAACTCTTGCCTTCAGACCATTCCCCAAATCTTCCCCTCCTCAGAACATAATTTGGGGCTTGCAGCCAGACAGAGCCACTGGGGCCAAGCCCCAGGGGCCGGGGATGCTGGGCACCCTCAGCAGCACGATGGGGGAATCACAGGGACCAAGACCTGGCTCCCGGGGAGCCACATCAGTGTGCTGAGCCTCACTGCCAGCACAAGCAGGAACCCGAAATCAGCAGCACAGTCACCTGAAAGCAGAATCAGTGGTGAAGGAATTCGAGCAGCACAGAAAAGGCGGCGATTTTACTAGCATTTTTGAAAAGATGACCTGTGATGAGAGGCTCCTATTCTAAATGAAAGAAACTCAAGTGGAAGACGAACATCCCACCTTCCCTCAAAAAGGCACTAAGAGCTCTTATGACACATATTCAGGACTTGTCACAAAGCCTGGAAGCAAAGGCAGAGAAGAGAGACCAGCTCTCCCTTACCTATTCCTTGTAACTTTGGGGAAAAGGATAAAACCCTATTAAAAGGTACCTTTCAGCTACAGCCCACCCCAGGGATGGGGAGATCTCAGAGGGAACCTAAGGGACCCCATGCAGCCGCTTAATTACTGGGGGAGCATCCACCCCAACCAAGCAGCTGTTGGGACAACAGAGCCTAAACTTCCAGACAAACCAGGACAAACACACAGCATGGAGAGGACAGTGATGCTTTCTCCTGCCACTATTGCTGGGTCTAACTTGTCTCTCTCCCCTACAAGGTTTGCAGTGATCCCCACCATCTCCTTCTGCAGCTGAGCCAGCCTCGAAGGTGTCTGCTGCCAAACTCTGCACCACGACCCAAGTGCCTTTGCTGCCAAGGACAACTAGGAAAAGTTTCCAGTCTTGCCCCTCACATTGAACATGTTCCACACCTTTGCTCCCATAATCCCATCACTTTTTCCTCTACTCAATCATCCATCCAGTTTCCTCCTATGCCTGTCTTCACACCTCGTTCCTCCAGCCCCATACAGCTACAGTCTCTCTAGCTTTGCCCAGCTATGCCTCAGCTCTCCAAATGCTCAAATTCCTCTTTAAAATGTCTTTTCCTTACAGTATTTCAGCAGCAGCCCAACCCTCCTTTTCCTCCTGTGTTGAAACTAGAGCAAACTGCATCATTAGAGACCAGGCATCAATCCATCCAGCACGAGGGACGGTCTGATCAGAAACTTAATAACAAGCTCCATGACAAGAAGGGATGACTGCACACTATAAGTGCTTATTAAACAAAGCAATCAACATCAATGAGAGCAGAAAATAGATACTCTTTTATAACAGATGCTTCAGATACTAGATAGATGCAGCCCAAGGGACGTATTGCATACCAGGTCCACTAGGCAGGCAATGTCTGGCAACAGGCAAGCCTTACGTGTGTTGGGCATTAGTCACATCACACCTATGAGCCCACTGGCTCCTTGGTGAATTCTTCTTTTGTTTTTCTTCCCCTTCACAGCTGCAGTGCTACCCTCTACCTAAGCCCCTACTCCTTTCTGCCTGGACAAGTCAGTGGGAAAAGAACAGCTCCTGTTTTCCCCCACCACGCAGGGAAGGCAGAAGCAGCTCTGTAATTCCTTTCTTGCAGAGGAGGATGAAGGGGTAGACACCACGCTCTCTCCACTTTTTTAAGGGGGTGGGATCCAACTCATAAACCCAATTCTCATCCTTCTCATTCACTCTAGATCAGACTGCCCCTGCCCTAGAATCATAGAATCATTAGGTTGGAATAGACGTCTCAGATCAAGTCCAACCATTGACCCAACACCACCATGCCCACTAAACCACGTCCTGAAGTGCCACATCTACACATTTTTGAACACCTCCAGGGACAGTGACTGCAACCCTTCCCTGGGCAGCCTGTTCCAATGTTTGACCACTCTTTCAGTACAGAAATTTTTCCTAATGTCCAACCTAAACCTCCTCGGGTGCAACTTGAGGCCATTTCCTCTTGTCTGTCACTAGCTACTCGGGAGAAGAGACCAGCACCCACCTCACTACAACTTCCTCTCAGGTAGTTGTAGAGAGTGATAAGGTCCCTCCTCAGCCTCCTCTTCTCCAGGAAGTCTTTATCCACACTGCCTTACTCTAAGGACCAGTGCGCCTCTACCAACAGCATCCTCACACCCTGGGGGGAACAGAGACCCCCTGAAAACTTGGGGTGTGGTGACCGACCCGCTGCCCATTGTGTAGCTCAGGTGCACGTTGCCCCTCAAGGTAATGTGGCAAGCGGGCACACAAGCAAGCACCACCTAACACTGACGTTGGCAACGAGTCAGCTCAGAGCTGCGCTGGCTTCTTCCCGGCATGAAAAAAAAAACCCTAAAGAGGAGCAAGGCTGCACACCAGACAACCCGTCTGAATACCGCCCGGTCATCAGTCCCCACACAGATCTCTGTTCTGGCTCCGCGGAGGTCAGCAGAGGCAACGGTGCCAGGCAAACCAGGGGTCTGTGAATATCCCCCGCCACTTTCCATTTACTACCACCATCGCATCGCTCATAGGAAAGGACAGGGAAATCTGAAGCCCAGAACAAGCATCACCCAGGAAATGACTCGCTGGGAGAAGGATCCACAGTATTCACTCCTTCCTTCTTGCCCGAATACAGTCAGTAATCCTCCTCCAGCTTTAATGGCTTCCTGTTTTCCAGCTGCTTTGACCCCACTGAGTCACTGCTCATCTTCAGGTCACTTATGTCAGGTTTTTATCTGGAGAAGAGGCGACCAGAGGAATAGCCACTGCCTAAAAAAACGTGTTCCTGACCACTTCCTTTCTTGAAACATTGAGGAGCAAGTTACAGAATGAAGAAATAAAGCAATGAAACAACAAAAAATGGTGTTAGTGAAGGTTAAAATTCAGAGTTAAGGCTCTAGAAAAAGAGCTTCATGAAAGCATGGAACAGGTCAGCACCAGAATACAGTAAGGGCTTTAGAAACTCCACTAAGCTACAGTGATACAATCCTATCCCTTTGCCTCTGTCAATGCACAATTTCTTGATAGTTTGAATCAAATTTTGAGATTTCCCTTAGTTGTGGACGGGGTAGGAAATGTCAATTAGAAGAAAGCAAGCACAAGCCATGTTTGTATTCAGAACTACACAGAAATACTCCGGTAAGACAGCAGCAGGAGCTCGCAGTGCCAGAATAAAATATTATCCGTGTGACACTGAGGAACAACAACTTACTGCCTGATCTTGTCATTCCTGGGTCCAAATCTTGGTCCAGAAGGCCCTCTCCTGCAGGCAGAAAAGAGAGCAAACAGGATGGAAGATACAATGAAAACATGTTTTGAAGCCAGACTCAAAAGCCATGCAAGAGAGAATCAACACCTTGTGTACGAGGGACTGTTCTCATACCAACCATCAGTCCCTCCCATGTCTTAGGATATGTGGGGCACCGCACTCTTATAAAGGTCACACCTATTAAACTTTAATTCATGCTCGACGCCAAGGCTCTGGGAGATCATCTCAAAGGAATCAAAGGTTTTGATTCCCAAGCCCCCACCTATGTGGCAGGGAGCAGCTTTCGGTATTCAACACCTCCAGCCTCAGAGCTGAAGGCAGTTAGGACATCCCATTCCCTATAGCAGCTGTTCAGAAACTCACAAGAAAAAGTCTTCCTCTTCATCTGAATCTTCCTCCAACAGGTTCCTCTGCAAATACAGGAAAAACACCAAAATCACCTCGTCAATAAGAAACCAGCATTTCACACAAACACACGCATTTCCAGCCCTTACGACGCAATCGGTGCCCTCTGACTGCAGGCTACATGCGAGCCCTCCTTTGGAGGGCATCGACAGCACTTTTTAGGTGTCCAGAGTCACGCTGTTTCTCTCTGCTTGTGACCCAGGGCCAAGCTGGATGTCTCCGTGCTGCAATTCTCACCTTGGCCGCGTTTGCTAAAAGCACAGACTGATGCACAGCTCTGCAGCTCCGACTGGGGACAACTTGCCCCTCTGCCACTGAGCCAAACTGTTTGTGCATCAATGGCCAGTTGCCTGCACAGGTTCAGATCCCAATTCTAGAGATCAGTACCACTCCCTACGACACAGGAGCGACTACTGTGTCAGCACGGTGAGCCCGGCCTTGGAAAGCAGCAGGCAGAGCCCCTGCGCAGGCCAGCTGAGGAAGGAAGGCCCTCTCTGCTCAAGGGACGATCCCCAGCATTGGACTCAGTCAACAGCAGCTGCTCAAAAACCATCAGCATCACCTACAACCACCCTGGGGTATCCCACCCACGTGGGAAGTCAGGTCCACTCCTCATTTGGAGGATGGGGTTTCTCCAGCCATCTGATGGCAGCAGGTGTAAGAAGGACGACTACGAGGAAACACACTGGGCTCCTTGCACGGCACGTCCGGAGGGGTCAGCCCCTCCGAACCCCCGACTCAGGCAAAGGCTATGGCCCAGCTGGAAAGCAGAACAGTCTGGTAGCTCCTCCTCGGCTCGGATTTGCTGTTCCACTACACCCATCAGACAATCCAAAGGCTGATTTTTAAGAGCAACCCCACAATCTCACTTAAGCCTGAAAGTTTTGGACAAAGACGTCACTAGAGTTCATTTCTCGTATACCAGGGCAGCACAAATTTTCCAGTTGAGCTGTGCGCTCCCAGTAACATCTACTGAGGGTCAAAAATAATCAAGAAGGGGAAACGCGTGGGCCTAGGAACACATCAGATGGTTCTTGTGGTACCAACAGCTGCTGCTTCCCCTGTGCATAAATTTGGGCTCCCACCTGCAGTGCTCTTATTTTGAAGCTTTACCTACATTTCTACTCTTGTCACATTTGCTCAATCAACTTAAGCAGCCTTCGAGACCATGCAATAGTTTCAGCCATCACCTCCCTCAAGGGATG